AAATAGTATTATGATTAAGAGCTTCCCGTGAGTTAGTTTAATAGTTTGATGTTTGTTTACGGTTTATTTGTGCGAAATCATACACACCTTGTACTTTTCGCTTTACCTGAAGTGCCAGTGCAAAATATTTTTGCTTTGGAAGTAGAAATATACAGTTTTTCGTCACTTTAGTATCGACTGTCATGTTTCTATCATAGGCGGTGTCTACTGTATTATAATAGTACATGGTTTGGCGTAACTGTTGCTATAAAGAGGCCATAAAGAAAGGGTATGCAAAAGAAAGGGCGATAGAAAGTCTGTAGTAGCAGATATTTAACCGAAAAAATCTCGTAGTCGTACCAGATTTAATTCGTAGCCCTAGCGAATCAGTCAAGTTCCCTATTTAATGTTGTTGATTTCATGTTTATACTAACTTATATTTTAATACTCGCTTTAGTGTGCATTATTTTATTACTTTAGACATCTCTTTTATTAATAGCAAAGTCCAAAGCCAAAGAAGCTAGGATTGTTTACTATAATCTATTGACCACATATTCAACTTATAAAATACGGTTTATTAGGAATGTAATTAAAGCTAATACTTTCAAATTTAAACTTTTTTAAAAAATGTCAAAGATAAACTACACACTATATAAAATCTCAAATATAAAATCTTCCGTTGACCAGTAAAAATATTTTGTTTTGACAATACAACAAAAATATGTTATTATAAAAACAACATTTTTAATATTTATCTATTTTTAAATATTCAGTTTTGTAAAATAGAGAACCGCCCTTTAACAGTGTGTTAATTATTAAATAGCCTAACACTGTCTGGTAAACTATTGCTTCTCTCAGTCATAAATTTAACAACAGACGCTCTCACTGAAAACGATGGCGTCCCAGACTCATATTTTGAGCATGATCCATCTGCTTATACTGTCGATTAAACTCAAGAAGAGGTTAAAATGTAGAGGCCGGCTTATAGCAAAGCGGTATAAAACGCCAAGTTCTTCTTCAGCGAGTTAGCGATTGCTTTTAATAGTTCGGGAGAGCATCGTTCGCCGGATGTATTGACGGGGGAAAATGGTTAGCTGCGAAAGTTCTTGGAGAAAAACCAGCACAGTACGCAGTCAATAACAATCAACACATTGCTACTACAGACTTCCCGTCCCGTCCGACTTTTCAATTCCCTGTTTCGGCAGTTTTTCTTAGTATCTCGAATCACTTGGACATGTTCCCCAGCAACAGTGCTTAGCATTAACCATGTTTGTAATTTGGGATAAATTTGAATTCGTTTTAGCACAGATAAAATAAATAAATAAAAACGTCAATTTAGACCAATTTATGTTCTCTGCTAGTACAATTCTATACAAAATATTAGTTTGTTTGTCTGAGTCTCGTGGGGGGTCTTCACTTGGAGAATCTATTTTTAGCTACTGCGGACAACGCTATTAAAATAACAAACAAACAATTACAAACAAACAATTAAACAATAAAACAAACAAACAATTAAGCAAACAAAAAACAAACAAATTAAACAATTAAAGAAACAAACAAACTAAACAAACAAACAATGAAACAAACAAAAAACAAACAAACAAACAAACAAACAAACAAACAAACAAACAATTTAACAAACAATTAAACAAACTAAATGTAGTATTGTAAAAGAAGCCTTTATTATTGCATAACTCTAGCTTATACAGGGTGTCCCAAAAAAACCGAAAACTATTGAAATCACCAATAACAATTTAGTTGTTAGAATTTGAATGCCTTAGCGCTCTCTTGGTTCCCACGAGTGCATAAATGATTGACACAAGTAACTTTTATGCATAAAGAAACTGTTTAAGAAGCTGTTTTTAATTCCCAGGAGCAGAAAATCGCGCACTTTACCAGGAGATATTCCTAACTAAATTCTAATACATGCAACTTGTAAATATTTTACGCATCATTACGTCCAGCTGTTGGGTAGGGCATTCAAATTTAACAATAAGTGATTTCAATAGTTTTCGGATTTTTTTGGGACACCCTGTATACCGATTAGTAATTAACATATTTACAAAGGATTAACATACATATTATGCTAATATACTACACTAAACAAACTAAACAAACTAAACAAACAAAACAAACAAAACAAACAAAACAAACAAAACAAACTAACAAAACAAACAAACAAACAAAACAAGCAAAACAAAACAAACAAACAATCAATTAAACAAACACATTAAACAAACACATTAACCAAACAATTAAACAAACAAAATTAAACAAACAAAAAAAAAAACAGACGAACAATTAAAGAGTGTCCCTATATGTCGTGTGTCGTGGGTTAAAAGTCGTGTGTCGTGGGTAAAGTCGTGGGTAAAGTCGTGGGTCATAAAATATGCTAAAAACGCATTTTTTCATATTTTTATTTTTAATATTTTTTTGGTACTTTTTCCTTTTATGCGCTAGATAAATACAGGAAGATTTAAATTAACGCAACAAATCTCCAGCAGTAAAACAATTTCTTATCTCAGCTGTTGTCTATAGTATAACAAGTAAATGTTTCCGTTTCGTATAGTCTTATATAAATAAGTCTATAAATGTATTGTTTGATGATAAAATGTCCTAAGTTATAGCTAGGATATTAGGATATAGGTTTATTAGCTTTGGAAGTGTTATAGTCCCTATCATGAACGTCGCGAATAACTATGTCGATTGCATATGTCTCGGATGCAAACATATTGAGCTATAAATTCTATGTGGCCAACACTCGAGCCTCACTGAATTTTGCTATTTTATCTCCCAGACCTAGTAGTATATGTTCGTGGCCCTTAAAAGTAGACAAACATTTCATGTGTATGTGGCGTTCGGAAATATCCATAAATTGCTACGATTTCGGGATTTCGCGATTGAAAACCGAAATGATTTGTGCGTTGTCGCCATGTCAGGCTATTTGCCAACCGAGCGCGCTAGCCGCTGTTATTTTGACAGAATATGATACCTCTACACTTTTCAGCCGTAATACATAATGCACGCATTGTAATCATATACATATCGTTTAATTTAGCTTCAAAAACTTATTTTGTTCAATGTAAAATGCGCAGCATGTTGCGTACATTAATATCAAAGAAAAAAGGTTGACTTTATTAGACTGAAATAAGCAAGATTTCCCGTTACATACATGATTTATACCGAGGCGGCTTTGCATGTGCTCTGCCTCTGGCAACTATGACACCATTGCGCTCCGCGGGAACCAACACGAATAACATGTTTTTATCAAGTTTTTGAAGCTAAATTAAACGATATGTATATGATTACAATGCGCGCTGAAAATTACGGCTGAAAAGTGTAGAGGTATCATATTATGTCGAAATAACAGCGGCTAGCGCGCTCGGTTGGCAATTAGCCCGACATCGCACAAATCATTTCGGTTTTCAATCGGGAAATCCCAAATCGTAGCAATTTATGGAATATTTCCGGACGCCACATAGGCTACACATGAAATGTTTGTCTACCTTTAAGGGTCACGAACATATACTACGTCTAGGAGATAAATAGCAAAATTTGAGGCTCGAGCGTTAGCCACTAATTATACTAGGCACTGCAGCGTAAATTTTATAGCTCAATATGTTTGTATCAGACATATGCAATCGACATAGTTATTCGCGACGTTCATGTCACTTCATGTTAGGGACTATAACACTTCCAAAGCTAACTGATAAACCTATATCCTATATAACTTAAGACATTTTATCATCAAACAATACATTTATACTCTTAGTCACTCTATAGGCTTATTAGACTATACGAAACGGAAACAAAATCAAACACTTACTTGTTATACTATAGATAACAGCAAGATAAGAAATTATTTTATTACTGGAGATTTGTTGCGTTAAATTTTCCTGTATTTATCTAATAGAAAAAATGGAAAAGTACGAAAAAAATATTAAAAATAAAAATAATATCTTCGTGAAAAAATGCGTTTTTACCACATTTTATGACCCACGACTTTACCCACGACTTTACCCACGACTTTACCCACGACACACGACTTTTAACCCACGACACACGACATATAGGGACACTCACAATTAAACAAACAATTCAAAAAAGCAAACAATTAAACAAACAAACAATTAAACAAACAATTAAACAAACAATTAAATAAACAAACAATTAAATAAACAAACAATTAAATAAACAAACAATTAAATAAGAGTGTAAAATCTTACTATACCTCTAAGAGTTGACGAACTCACTACCAAAGCACAACTAAACCAAACCAATATCGATATCATCGTCTCCTTCAGAACTTTGAACAGTTTCAGTGGTTATGGTCACCACTTGAGTAGAACTGATCACTGTCGATGAGTTGCCCACTGTCTCATCTGCTGGAGTGTCTGATGAGGATTGTGTGGTATGGGTAGTGGTAGTAATGGATTGAGAGGTATAAGATCTAAAACATGAGAGGGTATCAAAGGATAGTGGGTTTGCGGAGTTTTTTATAAAGCATACATCCTTGTGATCATGGATAATAAAATGTTTTGTACCGGTTAATCTGGGTTTGATAAGCATCCAAAATGGCATTTCAAAGTTGAATTAGCTTAATTTGATTCCAGTAACAGTATAAAGTTCATTCAAACGATCTTTTATGGTCAGGAAAAAAATTTTTGAGACACGATTCATCGCGGCTAGCCTGGCTCATATGAACAGCCCCTTGAAATGCTAACTTGTTAAAAAGCACCAGTGGTTAAAGACCGTGTCAAGTCCGTTCTGCGCATCAGTTCTGCTCATAACAAAGGGGAACCCACAGATATAAACATTGTCCAAATTTTGCATCTTTCGAACTTTTTTGAATTGAAACGTACTCTACTTTATATTCATTTACAATAGCGAAACAAAAAAGTGTTAGATACTCAGTTAGTATGTCTTATTTTACAAATATAGCAGTTCAAAATATAAACAAAGGATTTGTTTTTTCAAATTTGGTCGGACAGTTCTCCAGTTTCAGTCATTTTGACTCCAGGCCTTTGTTGAGTAAATCACGTCAATAAATAATACTTCAATATCACATAATTTGACACAAGTGGGGGTCAACCATTGAACTGAGGTCAACTGAAACAACAAAATGGCGGTCAACGCATCTTATGTCAATGACTCTGTGTCAATGAATTCTCCGACTATCATAAAAGCCAAGTAGTAAAAAACCCCAATATAAATGCCGTCCTTTACCCTTGACAAACACCTTGACCCCCACTTCAGTGGATGTGATGTCAAATGAAACCCAAGAATGCTGAAATTTCATATCTTATCCCCACAAAAAATGTCTGTTGACCAGATGACAACATCAAGAAAGGAATATATCAAGGAATGGTATGATAACAATCTGAATGTCAGTGAAAGCTACATTGGCCCAATGTACAATATATTGTAAAAGATTGTAGTAAAAGGGTACTTGACACAGAGATTATCACTGTTTCAATTTTACAGAAAAACGTTCTTTACAAAGTGTATAGACCTTAAGTAAAGGCTGGTTTACACTACAGTCGAACCCCTATAAGCGGACACCTCTCTTAAGCGGACAACTCTTTTAAGCGGACACATATCTCAGGTCCCATTTGGTTTCTTTAATAAAAAACTATTATCATAACCCCTATTAAGCGGACACCCCTCTTTAACGGACGCGGACACCTTTCTGGAGGCCCCAATGGGCAAATCAACCTCTCTTAAGCGGACAGATGGTCTGATAAAATGTATTCAATATTCGACAGTAAATAACAATTGAGATCAATTTACATGGCACATTAACAGTGACACACCAACTTGGCGCGAAGACATCAGAGCCAAGATTATTGAGGAAGTGACGAATGAGGACGGAGGACTGTGAGCCGCCAGCCATGATGATACTCAAATTACACACCTAATTACACACCTTTCCCTCCTGCTGTGTTTTTCTACATACCCCTTTTAAGCGGACACCCCTTTTAGGCGGACACTTAGGCGAGGTCCCGAAGGTGTCCGCTTAATAGGGGTTCGATTGTATATCAAAGTTTCTGTGATAGGTATTTTGCATACGAAAATTCTACGTATTGAAGGATATGTAAGAATGTTTGAGGGAACAGACTTAACACAGAGTCAGTTCCTTCAAACATTTCATACAAATTCTTCAAAACTTAGAATTTACCTATGCGAAGTTCTTACTGTGATAGTGTAACCAGCCTTGGCACACGAAAATTTGTAAAATTTTCATATTGATCTATCAGGGGAGGTGGATGACTTTTAAGGGAAGATGAAATAAATCTCAGGAGAGGTGCAACACGATTTCAGGGGAAGTTGGCACCTCCCCTCAGAATCCGGGCATGACCTTTGTCACAATAACTTAATTGCACATTTTTACGTTAGTATAAACATTAGCATTACGGCCAGGTAACATTGGTGTTAGGACTATGGTTATAGGCTTAGGATTAAAATTATAAGGAGTAGGAATGGTTATCAAGTTAGGAGAGCAAATGGAGTTATTAATGATATTAAGAATTGACTGGGAACATGTCTGAAGTGAGCATTAGATTTTAACTTTAAACACTAAAAAAACCCACTCTGGTTAAATTACCAGGTTAACCTAGAAATAACTTTTAACTGGATTAACTATTATTTTCTGGTTAAATATCTTGGTTATTTTATGATCTCGCGCCTACCATACTGCGGTTAATCTAACCAGGAATGTGGTTATATTTGACCATGCAGAAAGTCCTTTTTAGAATAACCACACTTTAGTATTTTTGCACAAGTGAACATAATAAATCCTACACGTTGATTGGTCAAAGTTGACGTATTAAGCTGTTATATTTACCTACAGGTGAATATAACAAAACTGAAATTTTCAAAATGGCGGCTAGCCGTTTTGTGGAAGTTTTATACTGATAAAGAAACAAGCGAAATTAAAATAAATTCAGTACCAAATAACACAAAAGACTTGTGTAAAAATACTAAAACAATTATTCGCCTCAGGCTCGGTGATTATCGGAGAATATTCACCTCGACTTCGTCTCGGCGAATATTCCCCGATAATCACCTCGCCTTCGGCGAATAATTGTTAAATTGTTATCAAATTAGAAAAACACGAATATAAATTCATAAGTATGTATACACCAAAAAGATAACACAACAAATTAGTTTGGCATCATAGTTAATTTTATATGTTAATTTTATCAAGAATATATTATTTATACACGTAATTTAGATTACTTTTAATTCATTCTACTGTATATTATATTATAAATTAAAACATTTCTTATATATACATTATAGGTCATATGTTATAAATTGATATTATGGTACAAGTACGATATTACATGTATTTTATATGTTAGTAAATTTATATTATATATACTAACAGTAACATTAGTCGACATCAACGAATATTACACAGATTCATTTCGTAAGTAGGAGGTGAGTTAGGTGAACGCGGATCAGAGATTAGACATGGCGAAAAGCTTAAATTAAATTTAAAAACTCATTAATAATTCATGAGGCAAACGAAATCACTACCCTGTCGGTCGTTTATTGTCGATTTCAAGTCACTTTTCAACGCGCGGTACCCAAGTTCGTTGCAAACTTGCCAATGACGTTCCCAAGTTCAAAAATTGGGCGTGAACTTCGCAACAAAGTTCGGAAGTACATTTCAGTGTTTGAAACTATTTCAGTGTTTGAAAGAAATGTTCATAGTTCAAGTTGAAATTAACAATTCAATAGAAAGTTCTTGGTCCAGTGGGCTACCAAGAAGGTTTGTATTTCATTGAATTGATTATTATTATTATTATTGAGTGTGAACATTTGTTTACAAACGAAGTTCAAACATTGAAATAAACTTGCGAACTTTGTTGCGAAGTTCGCGCCCAATTTCCGAACTTGGAAACGTAATTGGCCAGTTCGCAACGAACTTGGGAACCGCACGTTGAAAAGTGACTTGAAATCGACAATAATAACGTTTTTGTCAACACAGAAGTGGGAATCTTCAACACATATGACAAAGCATAAGATTTCAAATTTTTTGCTTCCTTGCACGAGGGCTATGATGCAAAATATCGCCAAAATTAGTTGTACCAATTTTCGGGTGACAATCACTTGCTTGACTAAGCTCGCTAATATGTGATAAAAATCATATTAATTTACATAAACTTCAGCTTTGATTTTCGAGGCTTAGACAACGTTGATCGCCAATGAACTCATAAGATGGGTCGTTTTTTAAGCCATTTAAAACACTCGCAGTCCGTGCTTTATCTGATAAGACACTCGGCTGGTGCCTCGTGTTTTATATCTGATAAAGCACTCCTGCTTGTGTTTTAAATAGTACGTACAAAATGTCCAAAAATCATGTAAATGATTTATCATGATCTACAAATTGTGATGGCCATCAATAAAACAGATGAACGGCAGGCTGACTAAGACTATGCCAACTGGTGTTACATCAGAAGAGAATCAATAATTGTTGCTCTTACTGGAATTCTAGACAGTAACTGGGCACTGATAGAGTTATCAAGTATAAATAAAGCTTGTTCACTTTGAATAGGAAACTTACTTGACTTCCCCTCCGGCAAGTGGATTTGAAATCACAATCATCTCGTCGGGAGGATTATCAGTACTGACTGGTTCTACAACAATACAATTGCAAGTGCATTTAGTGAACACAACAGTAAAGACAAATAAATGAATTAAACATTAGGCTTGACAACTTATTTGTACTTGGACTCTTGGAGTATATGAATCACTTGTGTTGGTGTCACAGTCTGTAGTAACACTGGATCAATAAGGGATGGTCCTTACTGGACCTCGTGGGAGAACAGTTTGGAACAGATAGAGCTATCCAGTATAAGCAAAGTTAGTTTAGGTTTCCTCCTGTAGTAACACTGGGTCCCTTACTGGGCCCCTAGGGAGAACAGTTTAGAACTGATAAAGCTATCCAGTATAAATAAAAGTTAGTTTAGTTTAGGTTTCCGCCTGTAGTAACACTGGATCAATAAGAGACGACCCTTACTGGGTCTCAAAAGAAAACAGTTTGAACTGACAGAGTTATCTACTACATGTATAAATAAAGTTAATTTAGTTTATAGATCTCCTCCTGTAGTACAGTAACACAGGACCAATAAGGAATGACCCTTATTGGACATCTAGGGAGACCAGTTTGGAACGAACAGAGCTATCCAGAATAAATAATTTAATAAAGTTAGCTCAGGTTTCCTTCTGTGGTAACACTGGATCAATAAGAGATGATCCTTGCTGGACCTCTACTGTATCCCGTATAAATAAAGTGAATAAACAAAAACACAGCACCAAGCAAAACAAAATAAATCACAACAAAAACATAATTATTACCTGTTTGTTTGCCCCCTTCTTCCTTATCGTCCGTTTCTACCACTTTCTCTTCCGTCCTTTCATTTTGTGTTTCCACCTCTTCACTTTCCCCTTCATCCTGGTTCGATTTCGTCTTCAGTATGGGTGAAGGTTCTACCACTTTTATTTCCGGGACTTTATCACTTCCGGTACTGGATCTCGATTCCGGCGCGGTGTCAACGCCATCGACAGCGACAACCGCTGCTTCTGAAGAAACTTCGACAGCGGGCACAGGTGAAGGGATCTCCTGCTCGGATTTGGTTTCAATCGTCGGCGAATCTTTTGCTTCAGTCTTGGATTTCGTTTCTTGTGGTTGTTTACGATTACCTGTTGGTGTTTAGTTTAGTTTGGTTTAGTTTAATCATGGTATTCCACATTGATAATTTCCACTTACAAGACCCTTTCACTATTCAGAATCATTTTAGGTAAACGACATTATCCCATACCTGTGTTAAAAGCGGCTTTCTGATTGGTTTAGAGCAGGTGAGCTTGTCGTCAAGCTCACCTGCTTTTTGCCGAGCTCACCTGCTTTTCGCCCGAACTCACCTGCTAAACTGCTTACGTTGCAATAACAATAACAAATATGGCGGACATGATTTAGCCGATAAACCTAAACTTTAAAGAACTTTTTTCGGTGACTAACATACTGAGACTGAAGAAAAACCAAAGAAAAAATGCAGTAAAGGTACCAGGTGATCTCGCCCCAAGCGCGCAAAGCATGATTTCCACTGCAAATAGAAATCCATACCAGCATGCCACGCGAGCGTACTGTAAAGAAAAATATTTTCTCCGCGAGACAAAAACGCAGCTGATGAAGACATAAATGAGAGATATTTTGGTCGATCTTGCGCGATTTTTTTGGAGAATGATCCTCAGAAACAAAAAGCAAGGAGTATCTGCGATCATGGTTAGCCTGGATGAAAACAGAACGAACTTGATTAAAAAAACTATGATTTTAGGGCAATGGTTTTGCTCGAACTTAATACCGTGGACATGAACATGCTCATGCAGGCGAGTTAAATTGCGATAAATTTTTAGTTTATATGATGTTGATTTCAGTAAATTTAAGTTATTTCAATAAAGTTTTACATGAAGTTAATTTGTATGTGTCTGCCTTGTCTAAAATTGTTTTTTGAATCTAAAATATGGGCTTGTATGTTTTACTTCACGTATATTTATAACGTGGCGAGATCGAAGGTTCTCAGTTTTGGCGGGCTTTTTCTCACTCAACAAACCCCGAGTTTTTTGTGTGCGAAAAGTAGCGAAAACCTTGTAAAATGAAGTCCTCTTCAAGCAGTTTTCGCTGTGAAAATTCAGAGTGTAATAAAGAATATAATTCGTATAATAATTTGTTGCGGCATTATCGAGTAAATAAAGAATGTAAGCCGGAAAACATAGAAAACAAGAAGAAACTCAGTGCAAAGGAGCTTGTTGGTGATGTATTGCTACAGGAAAATATCAGTGAAGTTACCCGTTCAGCAAGAGTTAAAGCTTTTATTGGTTGTTTGAGTGAGAAGGAAATTAAAGAGCACTTTCTTCAGCCTGTTGTTGAACAAACAAGTCCTTGGGAGTTCATGTTGGCAAAGGCTTCGTCGTCAAGTAGGTCGGGTTCTGTGGACACGACGAGACTTGTTCGAGATTTTGTTGCCCTAAGAGAGTCGTTGAACAATACCTACCCTGAAATGAAACTACTAGTTGCAGAAAGCGTTACTCTTAACACGTCAGAAATTCCCACTCCTAGGAATATGCTAAACTTTGTGGTAGACAACAAGAATTTATTGTGCAAGGCCTTACTTGAAGCTCAGAATGGAAAGGTTTTTAGGGAAGTATTAATGCCACTTGTGCTGGACAAATACAAGGAGAACTTTGTTGAATTTGCATCAGGGATTGTTGGCTCATTCTGCCTTGGTCAAAAACAACTGCAAGATGTTCTGCGAAACACTTGGGGAAAATACCTTTCATCAGTTCTTGGGGTAAATGTAATACCACCAAAGGATCTGGTTGTGGAAAACCTTAGGAAAAAGAAGAAGGAACTAACAGAATTGATAGGTTTGCAGTTTGAAGTCCATGATGCCGTTGTAGTTGCGAAAGTTGATGTTTCTAAGTACCTGGAGTATCTACTGTCAAGACCAGCTGTCCAAATATCGGCAATTGCACCTCAAAACAAAATACTAGTCTACCAGTTTACTGATTTGGCACCATGGCTAAAGTGGTCAAGGTATTTCACTGGGATCACCACCTCACGTCTCAAAGTCGTTGAGTGCCGCAACCTAAACAGATTTGTTATTACTACTGGTGTTTATCTTGGCCCGGATGATTATGATACAATTAGGAAATGCTTTGGAGCATTGTACCAAGAGTATGGTGAGTTAAACAAAATCCATCTTCCCAGTTGCGAAAGTCCTATTCAAGTATTTTATAGAAGCTGTGCAGATGGCAAGCAGCGTCGAGTTGACACAGGTAACAGTTCCTCCAGATCCACCTTTCCAATTCCAGATGCTCCAGAGCATATCAGCCTGTTGGGTAACATGTTGGTCATCTCCACTAGTCCAGTTTGGTCACACAAAGACTCAAGGGACATGGAGCAGAAATGGCAACAAACAAAAACTCCCATCACAAGATCAGAATTTGCAAGAAACAACCTAGGCAACCAAGGGCGAGAAAACCTAACCATCTGCGACATGGAGAATTATTATCCTGGCACAATGCATCTTGCTATAAGATCTTTGGAAACCTTGTCGGTTCAAATTGGCATGTGTGCAATTGGTGAGTAATAGATGAGTTCAAGGTTAGGCAACAGTCTGCAACACCATCTTGAAAAAGGGAGCAAAACCTCATTGCAATTGGAATACAATATAATCTACAATTATGTTGCCTAAGCTTGAACGTATCTACATGTAAGATATTGTACTTAACCTGGTGTTCTTTACTAGTCCAGCGTTTATACCCTAGTAAGGATTAGGTCACTAGGGACTATGGATAGTAGGAAATATAGGGGAGAGCATCTGAGTATACATTGTTACAGGAAAATAGAATGCATTAAACTGTCATAAGTTTTAGTTGTCCTGTAGCATACATACCTATTGGATACCATGCTTGTAAATTTAGTTTGGAATTCAACCAAATCACTTTGAAATCCACATATCCTTGGGTGAAATGCATTAGAAATACATCCAATTATTATATCCTCAAATACCCTACATACAAATGATGTTCAAGAGATAACTTTTTATTAATTTCATTCATTTATTGAAATAACTCAGCAGTTACAAAAACTAACGCTTCAGCTACATTTGTTTCAATTCCATGTATTTCTATGCTGCTTCCAAGAAATAGCTATCACACACCTTCAACACACCCCCATGTGCACAAAACCATTCTACTTCCTGTTTACAAATGTCAAAAACTGAGAGAACTATTTATGGTATAACCAGGGGTGAAACTTGAGGGGGGGGGGTATGGGGGGTGTAACACCCCCAAAATATGAATTATCTGGTTTGGCAGGTTGAATCAT